TGACATTGGGGAATCTAATGGGGGTACTGGCAGTGCTGACAACAGAGCTTTGTTGCTCAGGCCGGGCTGTTTGGGTTTTGGTGGTGGCGGTGGGCGGAAAAACTACTCCTACATTGTTTGTTGTGTTCATATCCAGCTCTGTAGAAGGAGGAAGAGAGATGTTCTTGGTCTTCTTTTTCCGTCCCTTTCTGTGCTTTCTGCTGTGTCCTTTATGTGTACTAACAGCTGCTGGTGGAGACGGAATGGTTTCTTCTGAGGACTCTGCTGGTTTCCTCTGCACTGTTGTAGGTGACGTAATGGAAACAATCTCCTTATCTATCGAAGGTTCATCCTTCATCACTTCATTAAAAGGCTCTTCTTTTTCTTCCATCTTATGTTCTCTGTCATCAACTCTGTTTCTACTTGACTGCTGGTGTTGGTGTTGCTCCGCCATGACGTTACTCAGAGCGATGACTTCTTCAGCTTTGCTGCCAGAGGGTGAAACTGCAGCCCCTTCTTCTGCTTTCTGTTTTCTCTTCCTGCCCTTTCCCTTTGGCTTTTTGTTGGTTTTCTTCTTCCTCCCTGTGTTCTTCCTCTTCTTCTTCTCTGAGCTTTGCGACTCGCTCTTGCTGGAGTCGGCGGTGGAGCTTTGAGAGGTGGAGACGGTGGCGAGGACCTTGATGAAGTCCTCGGCGGCGGTGACAACGTTTCTTAGAGAAGGCTCTTCGGGGCCCGACATTGGGGACTGTGTTGTACTCTCGGGTTTCACATCATCTTTGCTCTTCTCAGAGTCTTCTGTCTTGGAAAGAGGCAACGGCAGCGCATCAATGGCGTCGATCCCGCCAAAGTCGTACGGGACGGCCTCTCTCAGCACAGCAATGGGAAACTTCTCATAACGTTTACACCTGCAAAAGAACAACCGGAGGGGTTGTGTCATAAAATCAGAAAGAAATACAGCTCAGTACATAGCAAATCTACATTTTGGTTCTTATTTTAACGGCAAGGTACATTGATACTTACAGGCCGTACCAGTGACGCTCTGCACACTGATCTTCATATGCAAGCTCAAAGCAAGGCACACCAATGACGTTGAAGAACGCTTGACCAACTACCCTGGAAGATGTGTCGTTGACTTTCCTCAGGCAATCTTTCAACCTAATGAGAACGGAAAGTCAGGTTCATCGTTGTCTTTTCCTGCAGTTTGACAGGTAGGAGCAGAGTTACTGCATAAAAGGACGAAGACATGTTAGCTTAGTTTAACTTGTTACCACCATTTCTCTCGTGCAAATATGAAGTATCTAACGAGTTGTTCCAGACTTAGTTTAAAGAAAGGGGCTATTGAAAAAGCTAAATCCCTTTCTTCAGCCTACTTGTATTGATTTACTAAAAAGGATCTTGTCAGTCTCCCTTTCTCAAGCAGATCCTGGCCTCTCAATTTAACAAAGACTCGGGGGAGGACTTTAAACGAGAGTCCCAGACTCCACGTACGGTTTCAGATCCAAACCTCGACAGAGTAAAAAGGTCAATGATCTGGCTCGACGGCCCAATCATACTACATAAATTCTTACTCAACAACTGTGGTAAACAGGACATTTATTATTATTTATTTTTATATAGTTGTAACATTCAAATTATTACTTTTAAACTGGGGTGATAGTCAATGAAAAATGTTAATAAAAATGTTTTATATGAATTAATTACTGTTTGCAACTTGTGCATCACCTCATTTAGTTGTGATATTCTTAAGCAGTTGGTTTTGAAACAAAATAGGTTGATTCATTCAAAAGAGAAAACTGTGCTTTATTTATTTATTTTTCCTCGATAGATAATCATATTTACATTGTTATGCTGTCGTTCCTACTTCTTTTTTTGCGCGCGTTAGTTGTACATTTGCTTAAGAGGAATACTCACGCATCATCACAGGCACAATGGCAGATGGAGTGCCACTTGAAATTAGTGTGGCCATAATTGGAGGAGAAGGCGTGGATGACGTGAGGACAGTGGTCATGAATACGGCAGCAGCTGTCGGTCTTTGCAAATTCTCCTGCAACGAAGGAGTTTATTATCATTACCACGCATTCATCGAATTAACTTACTTGAATATATTGAATTCATAAAACCCACCCAGTTGGTCATAATGATCCGCCATGTTTCCAGCTCCACACCATAGCGTGCCGGGATAAGTGAAGCCTCTCTTGGATCTTTTAAAAACCTTGTCCGGCCGCTGCGAGTCATCGCCCTTCACCACCGTGCCTCTGCGCTCCGACCTCTCTTTAAACTCCCGGCACATCCGCTTGGCTTCATCCGTGCGCGCAAAACGCGCCTCCATCTGTTGGTCGGCTCTGTGTTCTTTCAGTCCCAACCTGCACTCGTGCATGAACGACTTCACCTGCATCTGGTTCGCTGTGACCGAACAGTTTCCAAACATCCCGGTGGGGCTGATGACGGATCGCACCACCTCGGCTCCGTCTGACACCTGGTAGAGGAAGCTCTCCCGCACGGTGGACATTTTGGCACAAAAGGTGCCGTTGAGCATGGAGAACATCTGTTTGCTCTCCTTCTCTGCGTCCAAAGCTCGACTCAGGAGGTCGCCCTTAACGAAGTTTCTGTCAAGATAAGACAGAAAGACAAAGAAGACCGACCACATGATGCGGCGAGTGGCACTTTCAGCACCATGCGCAACGGAGACAGCTCCTGGAGGTTGTCCGGCGCTCCCGAGCAGCCCGCTCACTTTTAAGGCGAATCACAAGTGGTGTGATTATCAATGCGAGAAAAAAAAAGCAACGCTGGGAGGAGTCAGTCGAATTAACCTCTTTAGATTCACAGGACCGGGCAGGGTTTCCATTATCAGCCGCGGAGCGCGGACACAATCCGAGAGTAGATACAGTAGCCAACTGTATCTCAACGTGGGTTAATTTGTGGCTGTAGATCATGACCCCCCTTCCCCCAACACACACACACCACCAGCCGCCCCCTTCCATTGCCCAGCGAGATGACCCCGAGTTACCTCCCAACCCCCTCAGCTCAACCCCGCCCCCCCCAGGAAAGCGGAGATTTACTTTGGGAACGCGCATGGAGCAGGTTCTATTTTACCCCCGCTTTCCATGGTAACTGGCATGTGGTGATTGTGCCAACCCGGGAGATTGGACATCTTTCAAATGCCACAAAACAGGCAGTGAATTGGTGCTGACCTAAATCACAACGCAGGGACGAAGTCTTTCATTGTGGAATGTGGCGAAATGTTGGCGCCGTCGCACGCAAACCGCACAGACTGGGGGGCCTCAGGAGCCCACGAGTTGATATTTTCCACTGATGAGGTGTCCTGAGTATAAGACTATCAGCCGAATTATACCAAAAGTAGTTCAATTAGTTTCAAAATTCAATCAGTCTGTTATTAATGATATTTCTTATTTGTCTAGCGCCCTATCTTCTTTGTTCTAAAACAGTTTGTTTGTTTTCTGCATTTCATGATGATAAAAACCATATAGCAACTGCTTTTTATAATGTATATCACAGTTCTCGGTGTTCGGGTTTTGTTGTACTCGTGAGGACCAAATAAGATTGTAAAATATATTAAAATTGAGTTTCCTGAATTGTGACCTTTTGGTACATTGTTTTAAAATATAACAACAGCATTCTAGATCGGGCCTATTGCAGCGGCGTTGTTGCTGCACTTTTCATGATCAGGAAAAGTGTTTCGTGCGTGTTTTTTTTTGATGATCTATCTGACCTATAGCTCCATATATATGGTGGCTTGCATTTGAAAGGTCTCACGTCTGCTCAGAAAACGACACACAGCAAATTCCTCTACATGTTCTGAACAAGTGGCTGTTCCCAAGAAAGAAAACCTTGTCAGGTTGGGTTTCTAATCAGCCGAGTTGTGTCACATGGCATGGTCTTAGCTCTCAGAGGCGGAGATCCAGCCTACTCAAGGCTCTAAAATCGGATTGTTGGAAGGCGGAGAGAAATGATGTCAAATCACCAGATGCAACATTCGACCAGATCTTGAGGGAGGGGTGGGGAGGTGTCTTTTGAATTCAAGTGCAGTGCAACAGAGGGAAAGGGGGGAAATGAGGCTGAGAACTTCCATGTGGAGAACAGCGCACGGTGAAACAGAAAGGTGACACTGGATGAAATATGTATCGTCTTTATTCCTGCTGGGCGAAGCTGCTTTCAGTCCACAGCAGATAAAGATCTCCTTTGAAAGAGTTGAAGAGTCCGCGTCTTGGGGCGCGCTTTTCTGTGCGCTCGGTGCCGTACTGATAATGTGAATGCAGGTGCAAAATGATTCTTGCAAAGTTAAGAGATATAACGTCACCTCATCAGTATTTTTGCTGCATGTAATTCTAAAGACATTCATACATTATTTGACCGACTAGAAACATTTAGATTCAGAAGAGCCTAATTTATAAATTAATATATATTTAGCATGAAAGATCATTTTTGGTTAACAGACATTGACATTCTATATATTTTCAGAAATGTTTAATGGCAGCATGAAGTTTAAGCGACTGCTTCAATTTAAAGCAAATAATCTGAAAGGAGTTCAAGCATTAAATTGTAATACATATGTAGATAAAATAAAATAAAGCCAGCCTACTAAAATCTAAGCGAAGCCACCATCATTCTACGGTCAAGCCAGCATCCACTTCGAAAACAAGTCAGCAGCGCACGTTATTCTGCAGTGCGCGTATATATTAGCGATTACGGTAAAAGCCTGTATGGGATTGATAGCAGACAACCTCAGAGAATATCACAACAATTCTCAAATAAAAGCCCTTTAAAGTATTATTCATGAGCCAAATTCCTTCTACATGCTCTTTTGATTTGAAAGAAAAATGTCAATAGTTACTAATACATAATAGGCTAATACATCTTCAGAATAATAGCTCACACCATTCAGCTCATACAATATTGGGACTCTTTCATTTCAATTTTAAAAATCATGAGCTAATTTCCAATCACATTCACCAGCCAACCATTTCTCAATTTTCAAATTAGATTTAAAAGGAAATGGTCACATGATCACAACGTCTCTGGGGGCCCAGGCTATATTGCTGGGCACAGGGAAGAAAGGCACCGACCAGAACCAGAGCCAGGACCAGGACGTTGTGGGACTGACTGCAGGACCCCAGCTGCAGTGACGGACATATTTCCATGTCCGGTGGTCGGAGACACTTCCACTTTAGTTCACATGGACTGGAAAAAATCAACAAAACTGAAAGTTCCTCATACAGTTCATAATGTTGTATTTCGGCTTGTTTCAGGTGCCCCCAGGTGGCCATACAACATCATTTCATCAGCCTAAGTTAAAACCGTACTCAGACAGACACAATTGTTATTATGGAGACAAATATATCAACTTAGCTTCATTACCTTACACATATCTTTACAAAGATGTTTCAAAATGAAAAAAATGGCATGTATGCGTCAAGATTACTTAAGGTTCATTTATTTGCTGACACACACGAGACAAAAACGGTGGGAAAATAATTGATGGAAGAAAGATGAACACCTCAGCACAGCTTGGACTCTGGGATGAAATTCCAGATCTGTTTATTTAACAACTACAATAACTTTTTGCGTCTGAGAATATACTGTAAAATAATGGGTTTTGTTGCTGCAGCTGGGAGCATGATGGTAAGCTGAGTTTCTTTTTACATCCTCTGGGGATTCCCAACAACTGAGACAAGCGTGAGAGGAAAAATTAACATTTTTAAAGTATCATTGTCCTCAAACCTTCTCCAGTGCAGTGTTGATATCAATTAGTATCAAGTACAGAGTTGGACTGTCTGTGTTTGCACAACATCCACCTAAAACTATCATTTATTGACAGGAATTGAGGTATTTGGAAGAGTCCTTAGAAGTACACAAATCTCTGATGTAATAATGTTTTGTAAAGAATTCAAATTGATAGTAATGCTTAAGGACTAAAAAACAATCAGTCCACATTACTAACTTTACTAAGCATAGAAAGCCGAGTGAACTAGTAAAAAATGCAACATAATAATGCTTCATCCATCCACAGCACAAAGGGCCTCATTCACCAATATCAATTAATTCATTTAAAATAGGCCTAGCACACTTTATACACCAATTCAAAGTGCTTTACAAATGAGCAGAAGTGTAGATGTAGTGCAACGGTTCCCAAACTCAAGAATGCCGCGGCCCAATTTGAAATCTGAAAATCTTTTGCGGCCCATCCAAACCTTTAATCACAACTCTGATCAAAACATAAACTAGGGATGATTAAATGACCTTAAGAATATAACCGATTAAAAATGTATTAACCGACAATGTATGTTTTGTATACCATTTTCTCAGGAGCTCATATATATTTACTTTAATACTACAAGAGGGCGCCCCATTTGACATTGTTTTGTTTGGCAGCGCCTTTTGTTGAATAACGACAGCCGGGACAAGAGCAGCCGTTTCGAGCGAACGGATCAAAAATAGGTCAGATAAAAGAATAACACGGAATTTAAATCCTAAATATTTTTATATTAATTTCTAACTTTCCAAAATTTAAAATTAAAAACATTTAATTTATTTATTGTAAATTACCTCTCGCGGCCCACCTGCAGTACCTTCGCAGCCCACACTTTGGGAATCGCTGGTGTAGTGTGTATTTAATAAAACAGACATACAATATGTGTAAAATAATAAAAAATAATTAGTTGCAGAAATATTCCATTGTAAATTAGAACGGTAGAAAACGGTACTTATTTTGTGCAAACATGTCAGCGCTCAATTGTGTGTGAGAGTGCTCTTCTGTTCTTACCTTAGAATAAAAATATCAAATAAGAAAACATTGGTGAATGCCAGAATCTTTGTGAAAACTGCGGAAGTTGGGGTAAAGCACACATTTGTTCTTAAGAGCATTTGGTGAATGAGGCCCAATGCTTTTGCCAGAGGAGGGACATCTTTGCATCTTGGCTCATTTTTTGGAACTGCACTTTTTAAGCACTTATGTTGCTATTACCACAATGCTAATGTTACATGTTGGCCAGGGGCTTGGGCTTCTAATAAGGTAAGTATCACAATCAGTAACTAATTTCAACTTCTTAACAAGACCCTCCCATTCCTCCCCCTGCAAGGTGACGTGTCGCCCCATCGTCCACGCTGCCCTTCATTCATCGCAGTTTCTCTGCAGCAGGCGTGACGTCTTCTTTGGTCAAACGGACGTGTCAGTCGCTCTCGCAGACAGACACAAAGGATGGTAACTTTTTCTATGATGGCACCTAACACAAAAGGACCCTCGTTTGCCTGGCTGGACCCTTCCACACTATACTGCAACTCCCAGGTTTGGGCGGGGGAGGGATTTCTACTTACTCTACTTTTACTTTACACAGTCGCCCTTCTGATGGATATAAGTTGAGAGACAAATTCTAACAGAAAAATACAATCTGTCTGTCCACATTTTGCATGTTGTGCACTAACTGTTTTTGCACTTCCTTTGGTGTCTTGCAAACTGTCAAAGTCCTTTTAACAGAAAACACTATTGACTGGTTGCTGGGATAAATGCAATGGGATTCATTCTTGGTATGAAAAGCACACCGATGCACTTGAAGAAGGAAAGTACATTGTAGTTGGTTGAAGGGTACAAAGACACTTGGTGTCCAACATTAATTTTAATTCCACTTACAAAGGTCAGGATACCTAAACCCCGACTCAAATGACTAAATTCAGATATCTTGACTAGATCTTGCTCATGCTATTATCATTTTCAGTTTGCACTGCAGGTAAGCGACCAAAGTTACTTTGGATGACTGTTTCTGAAAAAGGATTTTCAGGTGAGTCTGTTGCTGCAGCCCCTCGGAAAAGCGTCCATAACAAGTGGCTCACTAACCCAAACCAGAAGTACACAGACTACACAGGCAGAAACAACACTGTGGAAGTAAGACTGGGTGTGCTAACACCAGGTTATGGATCTTTTTACCATTCAACCATGTCAGTTATTTCTCTTGAGGAAATTAATGTTTTCCGGCCGGTAATTTTTGGACACCAGACGGTTGTTACAGAAACATCTTAATGTACATATTTTTTTAAAGTTTAACTTCACAAGGGTATAAGTTAGTTTAAACCTGTGCTATGTTGTTTTTGTAAGTATTCAGTCTTGTAATGGGATCATTTCTGCCCTGCCACCAAATTTCTGGAATTTAAGAGCAGTATTAGGCGTGGTAAGAATGGGAGAAAGCTTGAATGTAAGGCAGAGCTGTATTTCTGTTTAAAACTTAGATATAAGCAGAATTTAAACACATTGATTTCAAGATAAACTTGACAAATTTTCATAATCAAGCAATTTATTTGTCGACTTATTTTTATTTTACAATGTATAATTTACAATGTATAAATGATTTTCTTTAAATACTATATTTGGTGGTTGACATGTTTGTCCTTTCTGCAGGAAAATGTTTGTATTGTATTTGATTTGTAGTTAACTTGCATTTCCATTTAATGTATAAAGTATTCTTCTAATCCTAACTAAATAACTGTTGAAATGTTTTACTTTTTTAATATATATTTTTATTACATGTAAAACATGAGCTATTTTAAAGAAAATAAATGCTTAAACCAGTACAGTATTTCATTTTTTAAAATAAAAAAATGGATTATTCGAATTCAGTCATTTTAAACAAAAAGCAAAAAGTACCTATGAAGGATAAAGTCTAAAAGTCAGAATCTACAACAATGAATCTGGGTCGAGAGGTCTGAAAGGTCAAAAAACAAATGTGAGGGGCCATGAGATAACTAAGCAGAAAAATACCTTTTCAGTGTTTCTTCAGATCGTTGCTTGTTTCTTAAGAATTACTGCAGAATATTTTAGGTTAGGGTCATCTCGTCTACAGTCTATCGTCATGAAAAGAGGTTACCTGACATTTGTCATTTGTGGTGAAGAAAAATCTTAATGGTTTAACAAAAATAAAGCAGCGAGACTGAATATTTAAGCATCCACAGTCACTCTTTGGCATCTCCGCAGTAACAGAACAGTCATTCTGAGCATAATTCCTGCGTCACTGTAACTCTAGACAAGCTCAACTGAGCAATACCACAAGAATCCACATCCCACAGAGCAGAAATCTTTCCAGGCCAAGAAAAACTAAACTCAAAGATTTCAGGAAGTCAAACTCCAGCGTCCCTCCTCCTGCCTCCACCGCAGAAATACCACCAGTCTTTTCCCTCATCAAGTCTGTACCTTCGACTAAACGTCTGCCGCCATCCTTACTGACAGCAGTTTGTCTGCTTCTTCTTTGATGAAGCGTACACATTGTTTGAAGTGCTGTTAATTCCTGAAACAAATAAATATCAGGGAGGTTAAAACTATGGGACCAATGAGAAAGTTTTTTCGTCATCGCAGGGATATTTCGCATACTCACTGACGACGCCCCCAATTTGCCTCGGACCACTTTTCTCCAACTCAGCAAGAACGTTGGTCTCAAAGGCCAACGAAGCGACTCGAAAGAAAAACTCTTTGACGTTTTCTCCTACGGCAAGGAGGAAATATTGGTCAGTTAGGGCTGCAGGAAAAATAAAAGGTGCCACACCCAACTGCCTGATTACTAGACTCTGGATGAAATGTTAATTGAATAATTACTCTTGTGCGCTCCAAATCATAGCTTTTTAGTGGAATTATAAATAATAAACATATTGTTTTCTTATTAAACTACAAGCTACTTACAAGTTACTAATTCTCTTCTCTGCTTTTTTTTTTCTCTCTTACCGTATCTTCGAAAACAAAAATGTCTGTTTCAGAGGATTAGTCTTTATAGAGAATATGGACTAGTAAAAGTGAAAAATAAATGCTCAATCCCTAGAACTATAAAAATGTACACAACAAATTGAAAAATAAGCCCTGTTGACACAATTACTGTCCTCTGAATATGGAAATCAAACAGCTTTGATCAATGCTGAATACCAAAGGCATGTTTTTGACATACAGTAACTATTCAAACCTCTGGGAGTAAACCTCACAATGTAATCAATCAAAAAATAAATATGGGCTATTAAAAAATAAAAGACCTTCTGCCCCCAAAGAAATTGGACCATACTGCCTTCAGACAAAAAGAAAAAATATACTCTTTCCCTTTTTTGACGACACCCTATGGACTAATAACTAAGTCCCATAACTGTATTTGATCCAAACCCTCACCGGTCAGCGAGGACACGGCCCAGTACTCCGCTCGCATCTCATGTGCTAGTTTGAGGGCATCTTGTTCAATCTGAGAATACTGTGCAGGGGACTGTAGGAGAGACCAGAGAACACCATGTTATTTACTATTGTGTATTCTATAAAATGGTAGAATGAATAAAAAGCTAGCGGTTTCCAACTCCTTGCTTTGGCCATATTTAGTTTTCTGACATATTCATTCTAATGCAAAGAAGTTCACTCAAGGACAAGAGCAGAACTCTTTAAATAAAAAATGAATAAATGACAAAATCTGATTATCTATGTTAAGAGACAAAACAAATGATTAAATATTCTCTAAAAATCATAAAATAAGAGGCATAGTTCAAAAAGTTCAACAAAAGTATAGAACTTCTTGAAATAAGTTTGGTTAATGAATCCATTAGTAATGTCAAAGAAATGTCCATAGTTTCGGCCACTAACAGAAGTACATGAAGTAAAGGGCGGGTAAGATACATTATTACTAAACTCCGAGTACACAAATGCCTCGAGTTGAAGTCCAAACTATTTCCACCTGACTTCACAGGCATGCCCCCTTCAAACAATACCCAGACGTACACTCAGGTCTTTCTTGGTGCCAACAAGGAACAGCTGAACAGCAGTGGGGTCGTTCTCCCGCAGGGCGTCTTCAAGCCACTGTCTGCAGAAAGAACAAGACCAGATCAAGTCCCCCAGCTGGGGGTGAAAACCTGCTCCGAAATCTGCTCCTCGTGAACGAGCTCACCTCACGTGGCCCAAAGAGGCGACGTCGTTTACGTCGAACGCTATAATCACGACTGGAAGAAAGAACGTGTTAAATGAATTAGCGGTTTCAAACGCACAGGTTCTAGTAGTGTTACGTATCCACGGCTTCCTTTGCGTTCATGGACAGAGAAGAGCTTTAACATCAGCAGAGAAATCGCTCACCCTGGGCTCCTCTGTAGTACGTGGAAGCGATGCACTTGAACCTCTCCTGGCCTGCAGTGTCCCAGCTGTCAAACAGGGACGGACATTTTAGCAACGTCGCATCAGACGGACTTGAGCGGCAAGTAAGATGGTGACGATCATATTGGACTTACAGCTGAAGGCTGAATGGAACGCCGAGCACCTCAAAGCGCTCCATCTCAAAGTCAACACCGATCGTTGCCTTGTAGTTTTTATCAAAAGCATCTTTGCAAAACCTGAAAACATAAAAAGCTTTTTACCCTAAACAGTAATTATATATATATATATAATTATTATTATTATTATTATTATTATTATTATTATATATATATATATATAATTATAATTACTCTGTACTCGGTACTCTGCTTAATGTTGCATTGTTTCATATATCATGTAATTGAATTATTCCCAAAGCTTTAACTTGTAGCCTGCAGTGAAATGTTACAGCTTGAGGAGGTGGGATACATTTTAACAGGGTCATTTACTGTTGGATAGTCACTGTCATATTGTCATGGACCGTATGTTTTGTTAAACATGATCTGTAAAGTAACAAATCCAGCTGCCAGAGGAATGTAAGTTAGTAGAGTAAAACATATTATAGTTGTCTCTGAAAATGTGTGAGTAGAAATCTAAAGTAGCAATTGAAATACGGAAAAAACTGTACTTGAGTAAATATATTTGGCCTCGGTATTTAATATAGATTTGTTCCTACACTTCCTCGAGTTATTTCTTGAGTTATTTATCCCCAGAACTGCGACGGTGCCGGCGTTTGAGCTTACCGATTAATCAGACAGGTTTTCCCCACAGCCAGGTCACCCACAACAATGACCTTAGAGATTTTAAATCTGCTGAGAAGAACAAAAGGGAGATCCAACATGTAAATGAGTGGCACAGAAACGTTGCATCATCAGGCTGCCGGTGGCTGCGCCTCACCCCACGGTGCCGGTCCGCTGCTCCTGACAGGCCGTCTTCACTTTGCTGTTGAAGTCGTCGGCGGTGTGAAAGGCCGCCTCTTCCCTGAAATACTGCAGGAGTGGACGAGGAATTAGTCGGTGTGTTTCAGGGGGATGGTTACAACTGCACGCACGACAGCATATACGGCTTTACCCGAGGGAGCTGTGCAACGATACGGTCCTTTCGGACCGGAGGAAGAACGCTCATGGCTGAAACTCTGAGAGACATGAAGCTTTCAGGTGGATGTTAAGTGGAGGGACACGACGCGAGCTGGACAGAGAGAGAAAGACATGGGTTTAGAAATCGGTTTCTGCTGCAGTGAAAGAGTGTTAGGCCCGAACATCAGACTCGGAGACAACTCTTACTTTTGCTACTGGAAGTAAAACTGATGCAACATGAAGCTTATAATGACACCAAAACAAATGAATTCTCTTTGAAAAGAAATGGAAGGATTTGCTGATTCTCTGCCTGTTGACAAGGTGGTTGTTAATGGACTAATGGACTTTTTTTTACTATCAGACCCTTTATATAGAGATTCATCCCAAAATTGTGTTTACATTTTAACATCTAAACCTGGAATCATTTTGAATGACTGTTTAAGTCCCTCATTTAAGAATCTTATATCATCTACTTAAAACGTTATTTTTTAAACAGCACAAAAAAGGACTCACAGTGTCGTATTGGCTCACATTCAATTTGCGCTCGCTCATGTTCTCTTCCTGCCACCTTTTTTTTTAATTTGTTTAACTTCACCAAACAATCACAACACAGTCTTTATTTCCCCCCAATTGAACACACACACACATATTCAGCTCCCTGAAAAAATAAAGAGAGCAGCCCAGTCAATTCAGTAACAACAACAAACTGCAGTGAGGGAAAATATCTGTTATCTATTGTAGCAACAGGAACACATGCAGAGCCAGACAACTGTAATCGGAGTTGATCCACTTACTCTGCAGATGGGTTTTTAATCCTCTTGCTCATCAAAGCTTCTGGCAATAAAGAAGAAGAAGAAGAAGAGGGGGGGTTTGATTTGCTTCACCACTAAACGGGAACTTCATTCCTTTATTTTACATCCAATCGCCATTTTGAGCATATAATTAACTCTGTAAAGTTCCACGTTACGAAAGAAACAGGAGTGAAAGTTACACGCACGTGATTCATTTAAAGTAAAAACAGCGTGTCTGAGCCTGTGAAGAAGTTAAACGCACCTCATGGAGACGGACTCCGGTGTTTCGGTTTTCTGCTCCCCGCAGAAAAACGCGTCGTACCGGGATGCAGACCAGTGCAGACTCACAGTCCGCCGTGATCGCGGTGATCGCAGCTCAGATCGATCCACGGAAGCAGGAGGAGAAGCGGACCGAAGCCGCTGCTGACTCAAGATTCCTGGATTTGGGGTTTTTTTTTTTCCTCCCAGTTTTTCTCTTTTCGGTCCCCTGCTGGAGGAAATGAGGAATGATCTGACATTTTTGAAAGGAAAAACAAGCCCTATCCATCCATCTTTTCTCCATCTAACTATCTATCCATCTATCCATTTATCCATTTATCCATCGATCCATCGACCCGTCTATAAATTGGGCATTTATTGTTTCCTTTTATTTTTATTCTCCGTATTTACTATGTATGCATGATCATTCATACATGTACTTTAACACCTTTTACGTTATAGTGTTTCTATAATACATACGCTATATTGTCCTACTTCTCTGCATGCTCATGTCTTTGTTATTCGTAAAGCGTTTTCTCTCTGTAAGTTACATTTGTCGACAGCAGAGGGCGCTCCAGCTTTGTTTTCACTGACCTCGTTGTCAAAACTAGTTCCAACTGTGTCTGTGTGTGTGCACACATATATATATATATATATATATATATATATATATATATATATATATATATATATATATATATATATATATATATATATATATAATGTGTGTATATATCATTTGAGGTATCTGTGGTTTACTCAATGTAAACAACATAAACATGAGGCTGCACCTCAATTGCCCACAAAAGTAAAAATGTCTCCATCGCATTGACGCATCAGTATTATAACTTTAATAGTGTAATATTTATGTCAGTCGCACTCTGCACAGTAACAGTCAGTGCTTTTGATACATTTTGCCAATCATACTTTTGTTCTCTCACTGAAGTAAGATTTTTTAATGCATTCTTTCACCAGCGGTTATCTCTCTCGAGCGGGAATGTCAGTAACTACACGTTATAGAGAGGGAAATAATACTTTAAAGCATTACATATCACAAAAATTGAAAGATCGTGAACAAAATTGGAAGCCCGCTTGGGGTTATTCGGCACAAATTCAGCCAAACAACTTCTCTAGTTCTGGTAGACGTATTTGTCAGATCACAGGTCAAGTATAAGCGCTGCGTTTGCAAAGGCAGGAGCAGTTCTGTCGGCCCGCAGGCCGGAACAACTGACTAACATAAGGAAAAACGTTACATTTCATATTTCTTGTTAGATGTAAAAGAAAAGATTTCTATTGGCCCTAAACTGGCGCCGAGGAGGAGCAGGTCCTCTTGCCACAACACAAGATCTAATCACATGCAATGTGCGGTCTTTTAACATAATGAACAAAGCGCGAGTGTTGTGTTGTGTGTGTTGGTGCTTGGTGTGTCTCTAAATCTCATCCAAAAATATGTGTACGATTATGTGTTATTAAAGTCCTGCAGTCTGAGTATAGAGATCGGGTCATAGTAAATAAAAGACATTTTGAGGAAAGAGATAAAAAAAAAAAAGGCAAAGAGTAATGTGGGGATTTCTTCTGTCACTGAACATCCCGTCTAGTTACTGGTGAAAATCACTATTAACACGGATCATCTGGCTGCCTCGGGGGCGGCACGGTGGCGTGGTGTTTAGCACTGTTGCCTCACAGCAAGAAGGTCCTGGGTTTGATTCCGCCCAGTGGCCTTTCTGTGTGGAGTCTGCATGTTCTCCCCGTGTCTGCGTGGGTTCTCTCCGGGTTCTCCGGCTTCCTCCCACAGTCCAAAGACATGCACTGGGGATCAGGTTAATTGGGGACTTTAAATTGCCAGTAGATGTGTGAATGTGAATGGTTGTCTGTCTCTGTGTAGCCCTGCGATTGGCTGGCGACCAATCCAGGATGTACCCTGTCTATCGCCCGAAGTTGGCTGGGATGGACTCCAGCCCCCCCGCGACCCTGTGTGCAGGATAAGCGGTTTGACGATGGATGGATGGATGGATCTGGCTGCCTGCTCGTAGTGAAGGGTTTCTAAAGGTGCCCACCTGATGAGCTCAGTTATCCGACCGTTGGACGGCAAGAAGATCCCGCTTCAGGCCCACTTCCCCCAAACTACAACAGATTTCATATGAGCAGCGTTAGAGGGCCACACATGGCCCTTCATTCCTGTTTGTGAGTCACAGCCCAGAATGGCTTCAGCCACTGATGGTATCAGAGACAGGCGGAGTCTGTTGCTGCCAAGTAAGGTGGTTGTTGTTTAAGGCTGCATAAAGGAAACAGCATCGCTCTGCACAAAGGCAAATATAGTATCTACCTCACCTCTGAGCCTCACAAATGAACTAGTTAGATTTTGTTTACGTATTTATCTTATGAGGCAAGCTTTTTTACCAATTTCCAGAATTTTAATGCTAAGCTGGCTGTATCATCATAAGACCCACACTTCAAATCGTATCACGAAACAAAGCAAAGACCGCAGTCGCACAAAAGGGAAAAATGGAGCAAATATACCTTTTAGAGATCCCTGATTGTTTATAAAAAGGTAATACTTTTCAAAAAGGATTTATGCAAATTGTTCACCAACACTACATTTTTAAGAGATCATACGTGAACACATCATGATCATTTCAGAAACCTATTCCACCGTTGCTCAATACTCATTTTGAAAAGAGCCTGAACGCATCATAAAGTAACGAAACGGAACGTTCGTTCTCTTCCTGTCAAGTAGACACAGGTTTGACAGTGGTCCGCTACACCACAGATAGATAAACTAATATTAGAACGGTATCAGTCCAGGAAGTAGATTTTCTAAAATGTCAAACTATTCCTTTAGGTTGCGTTAATGCAGAAATGTAATTTTACTTTAAATAATACTTTGAGATCTGAGATACAGCCAACCCATTTTTCTGTTGCTATGAGTTAAAGGAAAGGAAAACCTACAACTCTTATGTCTGTAGCCTAATTATAAATATTACGCTAAAGCTAGCTTTGCATAAAAGTAGGAAATAGCTAGCCGGCTCTTTCGAAAGACCAAATCTGCAAACACATCTAAAGCGCCATTCAGTAGGCGATATTGTTGGTTTGACTTGTGCGATCACAGAAGGTTAAGCAGGTTTTTAAGATTTTTTTTTTATTTACCTTTGGACAGAACCATGCTAGCTGTTTCCACATGTTGAACGAAGCTCACTGGCTGAAGCTTCATCATTTTCTACACCGACGTGAGTCATGGCCTCGGTTTTCTCATCCAACTTCTGTCAACAACGCAACTAAGCAGGTTTCTGACAAATATCAATGCATTCCTTCACGCGATAACCTTATGATACTAAAAATACAAAGTAAAAGCAGCCAATTCTCACACGGTCTAAGAGATGAAGAATTTATCCCAGAATTTTGGCTTCAAGTAAAGCTCTGTTGCATTGTACTTTTATCCTCGAGAAGCTACATTTCTGACATTCCAACATTTCTGAACAAGCCTGGACCTTCTCCTACCCAAAAGCATCTTTTTTTTTTTCCTTTGGCATTCAGACACAACAAATGGACCGGTCATCAACATGAATGGGGTCAGTTTGTAAAAAGACAAAATGTGTAAACACGCACCCGAAATACAAACACAAGGTACGTCCGTAAACCTTCCCCACTCAATCACAGGGAAACTTTTTGGAGTTGTTGTTGTGCGTCTCGTTGGGCCTCACAGAGCTCCTACTCCTGGGGAAGAAGTCGGCGCGCAGCAGGCGGAAGAAATAAGTCAGGATCATGATATTCATGGCTATCATGGCGGCGAGAAAGTATAAACCACGGTCCAGCCAGGTGTAGTTGTTGATGATGTACCAGGTGAGGTAGAACTGGGTGCCCAGACGAAACGACAAGTAGGTGGAGATGTTGACGAGTTTGTTGATGCGGAACAAGGAGGAGGACTGAGCGCTCGCCAGCTTCAGCAACAGCCTCAGGTGCAGAGTGACACTGTTGACCTCCACAAAGAGAGCGATCACGGCGCCGGCTACATACAGCTGAGTGTAGAGGGCGTACAGGAAGCACGAGATCACCTGTGGTGGACACACACACACACACAGAGTTGATTTTTTTTTCTTCTTTTTTTACAGCTAATCTTCTGTGTTTGATAAGGCCATTGTTTGTTTATGCATTTCCTTCATTTCATTGTTTGCAATGGTGTTCATATAACCTCCTAAAGCCCTAGTGTCAAAATGCTTGACCCACACATGAATTCTAGGGATGAAGCCAAAGTTTTTCAAATATGGAGTTTGAGAGAATCCATTTATGTGATAAAAGACACAATATACAGTACGTGATCTCCTCAGGCTTGTTTTGTTTTGACCCTTAAGGTTACTTAAGAGGGATAATTGAAGGAAGGTGGATGGTTTGAAAATAGAAACGGAACAAAAAAGACACTACGTGATGCAGAGAAGGCGCAGAAACGACACTTCTGCTAGCTGAATTGGTAAATAATATTCTAAATAATAATTCAGCTAAACAAATTAGAAAATAAATAAGTAAAATTGAAAACAAGAAGGCATATGGTCTTACCAGCACATGATGGATTAAGAATTCCCACGATTGTCTTGCGTGTCCTGTCAGGATAATGTCAGCCGCATCATGCACAAAGTATCCTGAGGAGGAAGAGACACGGTGAGGAAGCGGACTAATGAGGTTGAGAATAAAATCTACAATTAACCGTTCATGCCTCTCTTTGGCATTATTATCAGAAGATGCCGCGTGCACAATTCACAACATAGCCATGGTTATCAAACAGTGTGGCCTTGTTTAGCTGGAGATACTCAAGTGACTCATATTCTACCAAGAGTTATTCTGTTCCCCAACTGACACGGCAACAAACACACAATCAGCCTCTATATTAAACAACAAGACCTCTAGTATCTGGTGCGGCTGGCCTCAGTGGAGTTGATAGTTGTTTGCTGTTGTTTGTGCAGATCTCCACAGATTTACGTCTTCATAGCAACACGTGGGATATAACCACGTGCACCTCAAACACACCGCGAGTCCTCGGTGGATTATCTTTCGTGTCCCCGGTAATTAAGAGTTATGCGAGAGGGGGAAGATCTTTTAGTTGTCTCAATATAAAGCAGCAACTTCAAGGTGGCTCTTTTATGGCCAAGATGAATGCAAAGCTTAATTCAAGGATGTGAGACTCAATAAGCACCTTTTCTCCGTGTCGCTCTTGTGCATTAAACCATTTCTGCAACAAGTCGTAGTACAAATTGTTAGTTATACAATATTTATCTTTGAGTTTTGGCAGTGGAAAGTTATATCATCATCAGCACTTTTTATCAACTTTCTGACTTTTTTTTATAGTCAATATATTTTTTTGAATAATCAATAATATAATTAGCTTATGCATAAATGATGAAAACAATGCTTTGCTGGAGCGCTTTATGAAATTGTACAACTCATCTGCAGACGGAACATTCAAAATGAAGTTCCCAAACATATTGTTAATCTTGCATTTTCATTTAGCTTTCAAACCCTAACCGCAGTTGTTGAACTGGTTACCCTGAAGAGACTTCTGCCACGATGCATTCACTGACCTGTAGAGACGCAGACGAGCAGGTAGGACAGAGGGGTGTGGTAAGAGTGAATGTTGTTCAACGTCTCGGGCCAAACAAGCACACTGCAGAGGGACACAGGTTATAGAAAGTTGGGTCTCTGTCAGTCAGACAGACACAGACTCACTGCTGCAGAGCAAAGACGGACTAAGCAGAGACTTCAGGTGCTTGTTTTAACCCTCGGGGAATAACAGACCCTCCTTTCAGCGGTTGAACAAAAAGTGCTCTTCACGTTTTATTGTTTGATTTGACAACTATTTGGATCACGCCTCTATTGGTGTGTGTGCATGATTTCATAACGTCTCTGTCTGATCTTGCAGTGTTCTTAGTCACTTTGCAATGCTGTTGGCAAATGGTGACACACCTGAAAAAAAGAAAAAGGTTCCTCTGTGTTCCCTCCCTGTATAAACACGCCGCGACCGAGTTAGTGTGATAATAAATGAGACGGGTTTCCTTGAGAATACAAAAACCTTATTGTCTCTCAATCATTGCTTATTTACTTATAAACACAAACATATCAATAAATTGTCTGAGATTTTAATGAAATCTGATCTTCCCAAACAGTCTCCACCCCAAAAACTAGTTTCCCATGATGCTTGAGCTAGCAGGTTTTTCTAGTTAATATATCAGGAAACTGTCTCATGAGGAACACTGCGTAAAGGGTGTGTGTGTGTGTGTGTGTGTGTGTGTGTGTGTGTGTGTGTGTGTGTGTGTGTGTGTGTGTGTGTTTGGGGCTGAAAATATTGTATTTTTTTGCAAATCTTGAAGTCAAATTACCAAGTGCAAGCAAATAGCAATAAGAGCGTTATGCGGTTCGTAGTGTACAGTGATATTTCTCTCCCCACTTAAAAATGCCATTCTCTCCCCCGTCCCTCCCGCTCTGTCTCTCCATGCCATTCTTCTCCTGGCTGCCACAGACTGTCACAGCAAACACACAACTCCACAAAAAGCTCACGGGGCAGGCTGTGAATAGACAATGGTGTGCCAGTGTGCGGAGGGATTGATGGATGCGTGGATAGACAGATGTTCAAATGGAAACTTACCAGGTCAGGGCCCACGATCCAGTCAGCAGGGAGTGCACCATGGAGACCGAGAGGTTCTTCCACTTCCAGGATTTCCAGTCATCCTGCTTCACCACTTTGGGCACAGGCAACCTTTGCAGAAGCCGGTGGATCACCTTGAAAATCAGAGACACCACCAGCACTGACTTGCCCGGGTGGCTCTTCAACACAGGAACCAGGGAGTCCATCCTGTCCTCCTCGCGCCCGGGGAGCCTCCCTCTGCCTCTGGACGCCTACTCTTACTCTCTGTAGCGTCCTCAACGTTCTCCAGTCGCCTGCACCGGGTTGTCCACGGTCCTGTAGCGGTCTCCTGCACTTGATGGGGGACAGATTTAGCACGGTATGAGACGGCAGTGTTCTCCGGTTCAGGGGAGAGGCCGCTGCAGGCGGGAGTGGGGGGGGGGGGGCGAAGATATTCTGTTTTCTAATAAAGTTTTAACCAAGTCTTCCTACCTCGGAGCTGCGTGTCTGATTTATGCAACAGTCCCTTTTTTCTCCGAGCGTTTAAAGTTCTGCGAGTCGGTGGAGAATCTGCAAACTGCTCAGTCCAACGAAACGGTGTTTGCGTTCACGCGGCGCGTTCGTCTTTGGTGCGACGCCGCTCTTCGCCCGCCCGGTCCGCGCACAGCGAGGAGTGGGCGTGGTGGGGGCGTGGTCGGGGAAGGGGACAGAAACAAGGAGGGACAGAAACTGTGATCACGTTGCACAAGTTGCACACAGCATGGCTGCCGAAACGAGATTTTAGGCAACGTAAGGTCTGGAAGACTTGATGTACACGTGCGTGGATTTCTGTATAAGTGTGTCCAAGTCAATGTTTCTTTTCTTACTGGCATAAAGGGTCACAAATGAAACAATATATAAGCATATCCATTTTTGGTATAATACATTACAGTAAGGTATCTTGCCCATAAGCACAAAAATAGAAATGTTATATAATTATATTCCCTTTAGAGAGAGCACAGTTATAACCTCTGAAGTTTAGTGTTGCAGAAGTACGTAGGTGAATAAGTTTCTTTTCATTTTTCAATCGTTTTGCTTCATAATAATCACGTCTTACTCACTTGACCACATGCACTGCATAAAATAAAGGAAGCGCATAAAGATACGTACTTCAATACATAAACGATTATGAAATTCTAGATTACATTTCTCTTAAACCCTTGAACCTTATCGTAAATTAGCCTCAACAGTAAGTACTGTAAACACATACAATTGAGAACACAAACACATATTTTTTCATTTTTGGAGCATTGCTAAATCTGGTTTGTGGGCCGTAACTCTTTCCATAAGCAACCATCCCATTCCCCATAGTTCGCCCCTCTGCAGCGCAGTGAGGTAAAAGGAAGTGAGATAGTAAGTGTAATGAATCAGGACCAGTAAAGACCCTCTGCACACTAACACCTGCCCCAAGGATGCTTCTGCAAAATATAACACTAGCTTATTCTGAAACTGATGTGTAACTTTAATGTCATCTGTATTCTTTTTTTTTGTGAATAATTATATTTCTTATTTAATGTCTATTTCCTTCTGATTCATTATTTATGCATTGCGGTGGAAGATCTGCCTGCTGTGTGAGAGTCTTTCAATGGAAATAAAGAATATCCGAAAGCAGAAGTTGTCTTTAAGAGTATTTCTTTGCTGCACAGAAGGGTACAATCCTCATTCAGAATGTAAACAGTGAGGGAGACAAAAAGAAAAGTAGGTGAAGCACATATTATTTATTCCCCCTAAGACCCGAATAGAAACAGCCGTCCCTCTTCTCCGCGGCTTATAATACTGAGATTCAGAAAATTGTCACTGCCATATTCAAAAGGTTGAACCCGTTGAGGAACACACCCCCAGCTGGTATATGCTACATCATATGGCGACGCGCTACGGGAAGATCCGAGTGTGTCTTCAACCGCTCATTTAGTAAACAGGTTCCTGCTCCATGGTCCTGGATCCTTGCCTGCTGGCTGTGCTGCTCAGATTCCAACACTGTGGCCCTACAAGCTCATTCCCTCAGGCAGACGCTTCGGAGTCCCCCAGTGCAGACTCCACCCGCTACCGCTTTAAGAAGTCCTTTGTCCCCCTGTCCATTAAAGCCATAAATGGCAAGCAAGCCAAAGCCTAATCCCTCCCAACACTGATTTCTATCTACACACTAAAGTGAAAGTTTATTCTCCTGTCATGTTATTTTTTGTATTTCCTAACAGCAGACACTGTAGGTTTCCACGACAAATTTCCTTCGTTACAATAACACATCTATCTGATCTACATCTGTTAGTGGTGATGTTCGCAGCGTGTGTATTACGGTCAAACTGCTCACTGACGACCACGGTCAGAAGAATTGAAACAGTGGGCGAGCAACCAGCTGCTGATTATCACCCACCTGAGATTAGATTAGATAGAGCTGGTTTGTGGATAACTCACATTCCATTCACATATGCCTATAAACTGGCTCTTAAACTCCTTTGGCATGGTTCCTCAGACACACCGTCCTATAAGCAGCGTCCCATCGAGTAACCAGAATCCACCCTCTGAAGTGTATATAGGCAATGGTATGCCATACAATTTATTGCACCTCACACTACCAGAGCCACGAATGTGGGATAACAGGAGGGACCGGGATGACCCGTCACCTCCTCAGCTTCAGGCCTAGCAGGAGTGGAAGATCGAGCTCCCAGCTCTGCAGAGCGACACCCTAACTAGGTGTCACAGTCGGGAATGGACACTGGGAACAGCCAGTCCGCAAAACTGCAGAGCTGCCATTTGGCTCGATGGCCAACCATTGTCGCACTGGCAGGAGGATAATATTATTCAGCGACAACCCCCACGCTCCTTCCGGTTCAAAGTGTTCAACCCGTGTCTCAGAAATCCAGGAACCTAATGGCAGAAAGTCATGGCAAATCCCTGCAGGTGGCATCATCCGGGGTACCTTCAAGATCGGTGAGCAGTTGTTGGTTCCGAGGCCGTGCCTAACATTACAGCATTATGCATGCTATGCTATGTTTACATGAAGAAACTTTAGGCCGAAGGTGCATTTGTTGAATGTATTGCAATGTTGAAATAGTGAGGAACAGTCCGGAGAGGTTTCAGCTTCCAGATAGAAGCACAGAGGGATGTCACACGGACAACGTGGGAGGAGCTACGTTTGAATGTGTAGCCAATAACATGCGGCTGCAACTCAAAGGACACACCCCACGAGATTCAAAAAGACGACTACAGAGAGGGCCATGCTTTGAGGTCGGAGTTGACTGTGGGGAAATAGATAGCTGGTTGTTAGCCACGGCCCAGATCCCACAGGCGGCGGTTTACACTCTTTGACTGTAGGCAGACTGAGGGAAATCACTTAGGCAGCAGTCGCCTCGTATCTGTCAACCCAGAGTTTGACATTTCATCCGCGCTGGAATGATGAGCCACACTACTGTCGCTCCACACAATCATCCTCGATCCAAAGCGCAGAAGCAGCTCTTCATCCAGCGCTATAATGACCAGCTTCACCATCTCGGAAGAGAGCGGGTGACAAATTACTTACTTACTACCTGTTAGAGTGGTATGCTCCACATCTCCCCTTAGAGTGGTATGATCTATCGCCCCAGAATAATTCACAAAAGCCACAAGATTTTTTCTGGGTTTCAGACAGAACGCCAATAATCATAAAACAGGTGATGAGAGAAGGTAATAAGAAAGAAGGTTTGATGGAACTACCTGAGTGTTTGGGATTCGACCAGTTACTATAGTTGTGGTTTTCAGAGATACCGCCTCGTTCTTTTAGTTTTGTTGGTTTGGGGCGGAGGACTTGTTTGGTTAGTAATCATTTTAGCATTTAATTTTGTAATACAATACTTTTGGATATCACTATACAATTATTTTAGCTAAAATATAGGAAATATAAAAGCATCGACCACCTTTGCGAGCTGCCACATTAATGATGCTCACATAGAATGCATCACTATTTGTAACATCATGTACACTATTCTAGAATGAGTACTTTTACATTAAATACTTATATATTTTGATTGACCTTTACTTGTAAAAGTATTTTTACACTGCAGTACAGGAGTACAGTGTAAAAGCTATAGTGATAATCGGAGATGAGTTTGTCCCTTACATCACAAAACAGGATACAGAAAGGTTAACCTGCAACACACAAAACACATCACTAGATGGAAGCAAAAGCTCATGTGAAGAACAAACAATTCATTCAGACTGAAGCTGCTTTTCAGCACAGTTTTTCATCAAACCTCTCAGGAGCATTTCTCCTCAAAAGCCTTTGGGATAACCCGCCACGCTAGTGATGATGAGATCATTCACGGATAAACTAGAAAATTCCCTGTTATTATTCCTTTGATAAAACCTTTTCAAAATAGTGTGAAGTGTGAAACATGAAACACGCAGCATATAATTAATCTACATACATCCGTTGAGTTCAGGCTTCTCTGTAACAAGACACATTGCAATTAGTGAGATAAATGGAACTTAATAGCATTTATTGTGTTTCCTGGTCACTTCAGCGTTGCAATTTTGTGAGCTCATAAATTTATACAAAAAGCTCACGGAATCAAGTTTCAAAAGAAACAGCGTCGGATTTCTGCCAGAAGGTGTTATTACACCTAAACCACAGCAAACAGCAAAATATTCAGAAGGAGTCCCTATATCATTTGATTTGTTTGAGGCAGGGGCCTTTGTGCCTGGCTCAGCACATTATTGATCTTGGGGTTATTTTTCTTTCTCCTGAGAGCTGTTGCAAACGGGCTGTGCAAGAGGCCGTTCAAGTCTGCAAGAGAGAAAATCTATGGGTTAATTGATTGCTAGCAACCGCATCGTAAATAGCCAAACAAAAGCATGTTTTTCTTGTTCAGAGGGAGATTCGTTTCTGTTCTCAAGCTTTATTTTAATTTATACAATTTTTTTTTTGTAACTAATTTACATTGATTAAATACATCCAAGTGCTGTGTTCCGAACTCCAAATGTCCAATGCTTAAACTGCTATAGGTGCTACAGTGAGAACTGTAATCATCTAATATAGACTGCTGTACAGAAGAACACACACACACATACTTATAGAGATGACATGTCTGAGAAATATGCTTATGAGTCAACGATGCGAGAAACTGAGGTGCAAGCATCAACGCAAGGAAACATTCTAACCCACAACTTCCTGTCAAATCTTTGAAATCTTTAAAAATGAAAAGTTCACGCCTGAGGTTTAGACGCAGTTTCACTGTCCTACACAGTGCATTCCTGGTCACTGAGTGTTTTGAGAAGAATGTCACAGAGCACGGCAGCTAAGAGGCCAAATATGCCACTGAGCTGGTCTTAAAAGGAGTGCCGCTCTAACTGCAACGCTCCTGTAGGTGCTCCTTTGTTGAGACATTATATCCCTGAGAAAGAGCAAACTATTGTTTGTGAAACCACCTACTCGCTTATCTCACCTCCACCGAACTTAACTTCATTTGGAAAACTGCAAATTGCAGAGGAAAGGTTAAATTACATGAAGATAACTGTTTTTGGTGATATATCATAATTCCTGATTGATGATAATAGAGGAGGTACTTTGGTATACAACAGAGCAGGCTTTGTCACAGCACAAAGCATTTATTATCCCCATGGCAGAGGGGAAACAGTCCTCATGCAGCCCGCTTCCTGCTTATCTCAGACATGGGGAAGGCACTATATAATCACTGGCCGTCTGGATGTCAGACTGTAGTATCTGAAGTCCATGCTCTAGTTGTTTCCTGTTACAAATGTTAGACAACACTGTGATCAATACATTTTCTGGCTTTTCCGTTTCTAATAAAAAGCACTTTGTAACCTAAAATACTGAGACACCTTGCAGAGAGGAAATCATATGGGTTGGATGAGATCATTTCTTTATCGTGACAACAAAGTATAGTAGGGCAGACACCAAAAAAAAGTGGAAATTGTAAAACCAAGCATTACATAATAAAGCCAGTGTACTTGCCTTTATTCACTCTTCACCGTGGCAGCATGTCCTGAGATGATGACCTATAGTGTATTTGTAGTTATGTCTATACTGTATTTATGTGATCTAATAAATATACCATATTCTTATCATACATTAAGCAGTTTCTCTGTATATAAGTGTTTACTATTTCCATGACCAGCACTGTGCCAAGAAAAAATAATTGAGCCCGTGGATTACTCGTGGTTACATAATTAAGTCATAAATGTGGTCTGAAATTCATAGCAATTGACCAGCTTCATCTATCTGACGAATTTAAACATTAACATGTCCGGTGTATTCATTGAACTGTTTCATTGAACAGTCAAAGTTATATTGGAGAAAGAAAGTTACCTTTGGTGTCTTCTTATCCTTTTAGTGACATTTCACGAATGACTTCAGTGAAGGGCTCTCTTCAGTTCATGTTACTGAATCTATATATATGTAGAAACATATCCCCCTCGTTCTCGTTCTCGTTCATCCTATTCATTAAACGTATCCTCTAAATAAAACACTGTGTCACTCTGTGTCTAAAATATATGCCACCAACAGTAGACTACTCTACCTTCCATCATAATTATTTTTCAGCTGGACATGTATTATGAAGTTTTCTTCTCACTCCTTTTTGTCCCTCGTCGCTTCCCATACGAGTGGTGAAGGGTTGCCTGGAGACGGCGGAAACGTTAGGAAGCCGCGATGGAGAAGTATGAGAAAATCAAAGTTGTCGGAAGAGGAGCTTTTGGGTAAATTATAGACTTCAGCTACACTTTGTATAACGTTAGCTGGTTTGTGCTACACACATTATGTGGGTGAAAATACGCCGTTACCAGCCGTAAAGTAACACATCTAAAACTCCGCCAAATGGGAAAACGGGATCCATCAAATGTTGTCCGTTCTCAGAAGAAAGACAACACGTCTACCCGTTACAAGTTAACGTTGAGTATGAAAAAAAAACTTTTTTTTAGTATATCTAAGCTTGTTGTGTGTATGTAATGCCACAGCATCTCTGGGTTGGTTATTAGCTAGTTGAACTTGGTATTTATTTCACCATTTAACGCTAACCAACGTTAGCAGCATTCTTTTACAATTTAGCTAACGTTAGGCTACATCACATCCGTTTGAATGGCTAGTGGCTCTACTTCACATTTGAAGTATAAAGTTGTTATTTAAGGATACGTTCTTGGAAGAGTTACATTAAACAATATACTGTTTCTAGTATTACTAATTACTACTAATATTGTACGATGTTCTCTATTCTCCTTTTTTAGACGACATGCAACATCTCAAAGTAATTTTACCCATGAAGAAAAAAATCAAAATCTATACTCTTGAAAATAAGGTGTTCATCCGTCCTACATGTGTTGTTAATGTTTTTGAAACTCATTTCCTGACATTATTGTTTATGAAACATAATATTTATTATTCACACAGTTGTATTAATTTTCCTCTCCTGTCAGGATCGTCCACCTGTGCCGCAGGCGCAGTGACGGGGCCTTTGTCATCCTGAAGGAGATCCCAGTGGAGCAGATGTCACGAGATGAACGTCTGGCAGCTCAGAACGAGTGTCAGGTCCTGAAACTGCTCAACCATCCAAATATTATCGAGTACTATGAGAACTTCCTGGAAGACAAGGCCCTCATGATAGCTATGGAGTATGCACCAGGTAAGCTTGCTGTAAAATGATATTGCATGACCACCTTTTGTTCATTGTCCAACGGTTCCCTTTTCCCCAGGTATAGTACCGTAGGGCTCCATACCGTTTATTGTTCCCATGTCACCATTTAGTATCAGTCTGCCCGGCAGTGTTTTGAGGTGATCAGATATCTTTACAGTTAATCTAGCTAGTATTCAGCCTGATGAGGCGCCTTCGGCTGTCCTTGTGTTCAGGTTAAACACAGAAACCTTGCAGTGGTGGACCCTAAATGTCTGGATGACCTTTCTAAATAACATTTTCCCATACTTGCAAAAAATGATATAGAAATGTGAAAAACAAAGGTCTCTCAATTGTTCTTTTTTATAATGTTTTCTGTGGGATTGTTTGGTTTTGATATGTCATTTCTCATTATCATTCCATTTTCATATCATTGCTCTCCTGGTATTGTAATAGTTCGGTGTAGGTAAATCATCAATTTGTCATGTCATTCTTTACATTGATACAGTTGACTGTGATTTATGTGCACACAATGCTTATTTTATCGATCCTACTTCTTTTTGTCGACAATAATATTTGGAACAGCTGCTGTCTTCTCAAAAGCTATTGAATCAATTTCTTATTAGCTTTGATTTTAGCTTCTCACTGCTTTTCAATCCATCCAGTAACTTCATTCATTTCTAAGTGACTGTGGTTTTAAAGAACAGAACGCCTTCTTTCTGTTGATTTCTGGTTTTCCTGCTCTTTTTCCTCATGCAGGTGGAACCTTGGCTGATTACATACAGAAGCGCTGTAACTCTCTGCTGGACGAGGACACAATCCTTCACTTCTTCGTACAGATCTTACTTGCTCTGTATCATGTACACAACAAACTTATCTTGCACAGAGACCTTAAGACACAGAATATTCTTCTTGACAAGCACCAGATGATCGTCAAAATTGGTGACTTTGGCATCTCCAAAATCCTTGTCAGCAAGAGCAAAGCTTACACGGTATGTTAAATTGCCTTCGCTTTGGAACTGTGATTACTTCTGCAACATACATGTTAACATATGTTGAATCCTATCATGTGCTAGCACAAATGAATTCCTCCTTCTCTTCCCTCTGCAGGTGGTGGGTACCCCTTGTTACATCTCCCCAGAGCTGTGTGAGGGAAAGCCGTATAACCAGAAGAGTGACATCTGGGCTTTGGGCTGTGTGCTCTATGAGCTAGCGAGTCTTAAGAGAGCCTTCGAGGCTGCTGTAAGGAAAACCTTTTCTTTACAAAAATCTGTAGTTTACCTGGATGGGGTGATTTCTGAAAATAGTACCATTGCCTATACCAAAATTGGGTACTAATGTGAAAGTCGTGCTTGTTTGCCGGGGATGATATGTTTGTTAATTTCACTCTACACTCTTTAATTTTGCTTTCAGAATCTACCTGCGCTTGTTCTTAAGATCATGAGCGGAACGTTTGCTCCAATTTCAGACCGGTACAGCCCAGAACTTCGACAGCTCATCCTCAACATGCTCAATCTGGATCCATCCAAACGGCCTCAACTCAACGAGATTATGGCTCTTCCCATATGCATCAGACCCCTGCTTAATCTCTACACGGATATAGGCAATGTCAAAATGCGGAGGTACTGCCTTAAAGCATGCAAATGGAAAGACAGATATTTTCATGCAAATAATTTGACATTAGGATCACATACAACCTTTTTGTGTGAGTTGTTTCTTTTTCTATATTCTAGGATTGAGAAGCCGCTGTCAACTGTGCAAACTGGTCCTCAAGGTAGAGGGGGGAGAGTTCCTTCAAACAGATCCAGAGGTCAGACTCATTACATTTTGAGTTGACAACACATCTAGCTGTACTTTTAACTGCAAATTTGATCAATATTTCTTGGTATTAAACAGATGGATCAGTCGGTTTAGTCTCGGGGAAGGTGCATAGCCTACCACTGTCAGCGGTGTACACGTGGGGAAGTGGGATCTCGGCGCCTCTCCGCCTGCCGATGCTCAACACTGAGGTGCTTCAAGTGTCTCTGGGCCGTACTCAGAAGATGGGAGTGACTAAGTCTGGTCGTCTGATTTCATGGGAGGTCTGTGTAAAACATGACATGTTTTTTGATTTCTTAAAGTCTTGCAATACAAGGAAAAAAATATTGTTCCTGATCCACTAGCAAGGAAAAAGCTGTGTCAAATAGTTTTTTGTTATTATCACAGATAACTTCCCAAATACAGTTTGGGCACCTCAGAGATCTTCCTCATGACCTACACCACCACATTAAAAGGGAAAATAGAGTGTTGAAGTGGCAGAAATAGCACAGCCTACATCAGTAGTTGCCTTAGTGCAAACAGCCACAACTAATTTGCTGAAATGTTTTGGGAATTTCTTGCATTTTCTGAGTAAAATACAGCTGGCTTGGGAATATAGATACTCAATAATAGAATACTTGATGGAAGGCATTGAACATCACACAATGATAGATCCCAGTTACATTCTCACGGTTTGGTCTTGTTAGCACTAACCTTGATTTATTGTCACAGGGTCCATCAGTGGGATCTGGTGAGGCCAGTCTGCCTGGTGTGGTGGAGCAGATTCAGCCTCAGTTCATTTCACGTTTCCTTGAGGGTCAGTCTGGAGTCACCATCAAGTCTGTGTCCTGTGGCGATCTTTTCACCACCTGCATGACAGGTATGTGGGCTCTACTGCCTTTTAGAACTATCAGAGACATCACGCCAGTGTCAATACAGCAGGAGGATTTTTTTAATCCAATGTGTTTTATTTCAATTTGCAGACAGAGGCATTATCATGACGTTTGGAAGTGGGAGCAATGGCTGTTTAGGACACGGTAACTTTAATGATGTCACACAGGTAAGTGTGCACCATTCAACGGAAACAATACTCACATTAAATGTACACTCAGTTGCGAGTTTATTACAGTAGATACACCTGACTAAAACCAATGCAGTTTGCTTCAGCATACCTGCAATCATTTTTATTTGACCTCAAAATGATCATGAAGTTTATTTGTCTAACTTTCCATAATTATCATGGAGGTAGGATATATTGCAGCACTGTTTTATTATAGTATTTCTTTTAGCTTGGTGTAAATGGTAAGCTGGCTACTTGAAGTATAATTGTAATTCTCATATTTAGTCTCATAAGAATGTATTTTGACATTTTAACTGGTCATCCAGAATGCTACATCCCTTGACATCTGTAGCTTCAACGTTACAATCATGATTTTCATTTTTTTCCTCAGCCCAAGATAGTCGAGGCACTCCTCGGCTACGAGCTGGTTCAGCTCTCATGTGGTGCTTCCCATGTGCTTGCTGTGACCAATGAAAAAGAAGTATTTGCATGGGGAAGAGGAGACAATGGTAGTAATTTAACCCGGTTGTTTTTAAATGTGTCTTAGCATCCATCTCTTGGTGTTCATTTTGTATGTTGTAGAATCATGACTCATCAAACTGCTTGGCTGCTGTGTCTTTGTTCTCATTTCTATTCATCTGTCTGGAAGGTCGCCTCGGGCTAGGCACCCAAGACACTCACAACTCCCCACAGCAGGTGTGTTTACCTGGGGAATTTGAGGCCCAGAGGGTGGTGTGTGGAGTCGACTGCTCCATGATTATCAGCACCCAGTACAGTATTTTGGCAAGTGGAAGCAACAGGTAATTATGATGAACAGATGAGGACATATTTTAAATGTGTGATATTTATAAATATGTGATATTTTAAAAGTAAAACTCATTGTACATTAAAGGAGTGGTGAATGAGCATATACTAAGGGCAGTTCTCTCTATTCCCCTTCCTGTTGTAAGTACCTGCATTTTGTTGTTTTGCTGCGATCAGGTTCAACAAGCTTGGGCTGGATAAGATAGCAGCAGGAGATGAACCAAGTCCATCCAATCAGGTGGAAGAAGTCCATTCCTACTCTCCTGTCCAATCGGCCCCACTCAACAGTGAGAAGATTGTTCACATTGACATTGGCACATCACATTCTGTCGCTGTAACAGGTAAAATAATCCAATTTCCAGATTTTAAGTGATGCATCTCAGAGTGATTGCCTTCATAATGATGTGAAATAAGTGTGAGAATTGAGTGAAACGCCATCTGAAAAGATCCCTACCAGGGCCAAAGTACATTTCTGATCTGCTAATACCTTATGTACAAACCCTCGGGTCGTCTGGGACCGGTCTTCATTCTGGTCCCAGAGTCAGAACCAAACATGGAGAAGCAGCGTTGAGTTTTTCTGCTCCACATATCTGGAACTCCCAGAAAGCTGCCAGTCTGCTGACTGTCTCAGCTCCTTTAAATCCAGATTAAAGTCTTTTCTGTTATCTGCTGCCTTTAATTGAACATTTTTGCACTATGGAATTTTGGTACTTTTAAGCTACACTGCAAATTCTATTCTATTTTTAGTTTTTTAACATTATTTTTAAAAATCTTTTGAATAACCGTTTTTCTTTTATATTTTAATCAATGTTGTTAACTGTAAATCTCCTTAATTTCTTGCTCATTGCTTTTGCTCCTTTAATGGCTTTATGTGAAGCACCTGTTGCCTTGTTGTTGAAATGTGCCTTGCCTTGCCTTATCAACACGTTCTACAGTAAACTAAACTAAACTTATATTTGAAAAAAGTTTCAAAGTCTTAACACATCTGTTGATTTTTAAATATTGAACACATTTACCGTCACTACACAGAGAGAGGTCAGTGTTTCACCTTAGGCAGCAACCAGCACGGTCAGATGGGCTGTAGTTCCCGTCGTAGCAGCCGTGTTCCCTACCCGGTGCCCGGCCTGCAGAGCATCTCCATGGCTGCCTGTGGAGACGCTTTCTCCTTAGCTATTGGATCTGGTGAGTAGAGCTTACTATATCCAATATTTGGGCCGGCTTGGTTTTAAAGGCCCTTCACACCTCCACAGGTTGAAGATTTACGTGGATTTGAGATCTCCAGAATTTCTCAACTAATAATCTATGGAGGTGTCTGTTGTCCCTGCGTACCAGGAGCTGGAACGTTAGCTCTGCAAAGGTTTGCTCTCATAGTGCCGGCGAAAAATCCAGGGAGACAGGAAAATTGTTTTCTCGTCCGTGCACGAAGATGCTAGTGCATGCTGTTCTGCAGCTAACTAGAGACTACAACGTTTCCAACAAGCACTTGTATACAAAACAATTTAAACTCTTTATTTTTCATCATAGTTAATCCGCCACTTCCTCAAGAGATATGCATGAATAGTAGCTGCAGAAGTTGAGATAACATTGCTTGGATATCTGTGGTTTAGCTACTTTGGAGGAAAAATGGGGGATTTAAATGAGGGTCAACCAGTTTCACACAGATCAACCATGGGACCACACGACAAAAGGGTAACTGTTGTTATTCTTTCAAGTCTCTAAAGGTTTATTTTAGAGACTTGAGAGAACTGGAATGAACTGAACGTTTTAATGGTTACATGTAACATATACTATGGTTTGGAAAAATGTTAAGCAGAACAATGCAGGGCTTCAGCCAATAGGCCTAACATACAAAACCATTGGTCTGGTTCTTTGAACACAGAGGTGAACAGATGTAGAAGTGTGTGTGCTCTGTCTGTTTTGGTGGTTAAATGGTGAAATGTCCTATTGTGGCAGCAATGTGCCTATTGTGGCTCCCCGTGGAGAAAGCCAGCAGTGGCAGCACCGCCTGTAGGTTTTTCTTTGTTGAGCGAAGTCTTTGTGCATCCTTCAGTTGGAGCCATTGTGCTGCTGCTGCAGGAGAGACCGAGCTGTCAGCTTCACAGTTTCTGTGAGAGACAGTGACCGACTTCTTGTCCTCCTGCTCTCCACAGATGGGGACGTGTACACCTGGGGAAAGGGGGCCCGAGGACGCCTCGGAAGGAAAGAAGAGGATTCTGGGATACCTAAGGCGGTGCAGCTCGACGAGAGTCACCCATTCACTGTGACATCGGTGGCTTGTTGTCATGGCAACACTTTGCTGGCAGTGAAACGTAATATTTCGCTTATTAGCCTTTGTTAACAAACACTGTGAGATGTCGGGATGGTGGTGAAATGCAACCGAGAGAGCGCTAATCCCCAGATGAAAGACAGGCTGAACTTGAGACAAGCTTCTCTTGATAGCGTCGACAGATCTGCATGTTTGTGAAGAATTGATAAAGGACTCATTTGTAAGTTTGAAGGCACACAGGCTGGTGACATGACTACAGAACATTGTCCTCTGTTAACATTAACAAACTGGTTCTTTCCAGCTACACTTGATCAGAACTCTTCCGTCTGCATGCCAAATGTAAGAATTGAGTTTAACTTTGCATTGTGGCTCTTGATTGTGGCTCAAGCGATTATGACGTTGCAAAACCATCTTAGTGAGAGGAACAAAAAACAGCAATCTGTCCCTCTTTGTCCTGACGGTGACTGTGCAAAGCCACAGATTCACATGAAAACTGAAAAATAGTGAAGGTGGGATTAAATCGTCCGAATCGAGAAGATTAAACTACATCAAAATGGATGTTAAGTAACAAAGATGTTGGTAATCCGCGCTACAGGCTGCACGGCTGCTGTGTAAATGTTTTGTTGACCTCGATTATGTGAAGAGGACATGGAGCCAGGAAACTGATAAGAATGACAGCAGGTATTACAGGGTCCTGGTTTGTTTGTAGACCTAAAGACGTACTGTATTGTGAATGAAGTGAGAGTCACGTCTTTGTTACAACAACTCAAAAGAAACCTTGAACTGTTTGATTCCCCGACTGAGTTCCCTTCCTAGTTTAAGGCTCATTAACAAACAAACCAAATCAAGGTCGGTGGTGGAGTTGGTTTCACTCGAAAACCTGAGTAACTGGGGAGGAAGCTGTTACTTATTGATCGTAGAGCATGACAAGGTTGTATCGATATTTAATAAACTGTCGGCCACTATCGCCCTCGTTAATGGATAATTGATTTATCGTTGTACACTAATCTGAAAAACATGACGTGATGTTTGGACGTTAAGGGCTTAAACTAACACATGTTTCCATTACTGATTAACTGGACGAGTGAAATATTATAATTTTGATTATTTTTAGAGCCAGCATCTTTAAAACTATTTGTTCTAACCCACCATCAGTCCTAAGGGTATTTAGTTATATGACGATGAGTCACAGTTCCTCCTTCTTTTTAACACTATTGCTGAAAAATGAGTGAAAAGGCCGTTTAATTTCAGCTCTTATTGACGTTTTATCTCTTGTTTCAGCTTTGCTCGAAGAACCTGTCCCCAGATGATGCTGTCCTTAGAGCGAACCCTCGCCCACTCATCGGCCGTCTGGAGGCCCAGCGGTGGCATGAGGTGAAACTTCCTCTGGATAGAACTCTTCCCAGAGGCCCATCTGTGCTGAAGTTGAAAGATTTCCTTTCACGCTGCAGCTGTGCCCTTGAATTTTCACTTGCTCTTCCTCTCCCTGTCTAGTTTTTTTTTATTCCAAAAAGAAATGTTTGTTTCATTTGGCGGTTTGACAGAAAAGATTAAAACCTGTGTGGTTCAGCAGGTGTAACTCTCATCCGCTCGGTTGAAAGAATGTTGCAACAGTGTTACTGAAGATGGGTTACAGGAAGTCATTAGGCAGCGCTCACGTGGCGAGCTATTGTCCTTACTGCAGAGAGTAACTATGATAAAGGCCACTAAAAGTGGAACTGGTTGTGAGCTCTCTTAAGCCACTGGTGAATGAGGTGACACAATGCAGAGAAAGCAACAGAAGCAAAGGCACTTGAATGTCATTAGTCGAGTGACCCTAACACAATAATCTCGAGCGCCTCATCAGCTCTCACATTGTGCTTTATTGGATTAGTCCTTAACTCGGCAGCAGCGTTCACAACAGATAACGATGTGTTTTCAACTGATCAACGTCTTCGAGTCTTAATGGATGTGTCCGGAAAACCCCTGAATAGTTTATGTATGAATCGTCTCTTTTCTTTGTCTTTGCCACAGACATGTATGTCATTTGGCCAATTGTATTATTAGCACAAAGTAGTGTAAAAAATAGTAAAATAAGATAAGATATCACTTTTTTTTATCCTGAGGGAACTGTTTGTACAGCAGTTACAGTGCGTTGTAAGAAAGAGTGCAACAATAAATGAAGAAAAGAATGAAAAGATCAATAAACAGACACAGAATCCCAAGTATAGGCAATGAAAAAATATGTAATGATCGTAAGCTTCTACTATACTTGGAGAACTATTTTTGGGACATAAATGTCACACTCGACACTTTGGTCTCTCACAAAAACGTAAACAGAAAACAACGTGCACTATACAATAAATGTGTGATTTTATAAACATATTTCAAATGACATTGTGTAAACTGTTTTCATAATATGAAACTCTGGTGTAAGTCAATGAATAAAAGTACTTAAATATTTACATTCAAATATAGAGGTAAAATGACAGACGGTACAGAAATTTTTGAAGGTTTTTCTTAATTGTTATTTTTACATTTCCTAATGATATAGGTTTTATTGGCCCCTCAAAAATAAAAATAAAATGAAACATTCATTGTCCCAGATGTCCGTTGGTTTCTGGGTTAGGGTATGTTTCTCATGGCTGCCACCTGGAAAAGAAGAGTTAGATATTTATTGCTACTGCACATGTTGACTTAAACAAAATCATCATTAGAATGAATAACTTGACCTAAGGTATAATGTTGGTTCTCTAAATTAGTCTTTTATTTCCTCAGCTGACATTATATTGTAGTTAAACAGTGTTCTCTAGCTATATTCATCAAGTTTCTGATTCAAGGTCCAATATTTGTGCAAATATAATTCGTTTTTTTTTTAGACATTATTCCTTATTTATTTATTTCCTGAGGAAATGGATCCTCGACCTTGTTGTCTTGTATGATGACGTAATGATGATGTAATTCAGTGGCAATACAGCAGGTAAAAAAAAAAAGTCTCAATATGTTGATGTGCTCTTTATTTCTATGGTGGTAAAAACACTTCCAGTTGTGTTGTGTAACAAAATGTGTCACGTTGTGTTATAGTGTGTATAGGCAACAGCCCAGTAACATTACAGAGAGATACGTGACATTGTTCTTTGTGTGTCTGCTCCACCACTAGAGGGCGTCTGTCACCTCTGACTGCACTGTTGTCTTCTGCATTAGATCCATGCAAAGGACATTTATTGTTTGATTAAGACACCAACAACAAATCCTTCCTTCCTCTGACTTCCTTCTGATAAAGACCTATTTATTATTCCTTAAGCAAAAGGCCTCAGTGTGTTTCTACTAAACACACACACACACCCTTGTAGCTGACCAACGCATAAGCTAATGCACACTGAAACAAAACAAACCCACTTCTCTTTCATTAGCAGCCACACAAAAGCCCCCCAATTTAAGCCCCGCGAGGACAGAGGAGAGGAGAGGAAACGGTGCGAACGGCATTTTTCAGCTTCTTGGCTCCTCCTGCGCGGAGGAGGAGGCGGGACTCGGTGCACCTAAAACAGACGGAGGGGTTATGCGCTGTGCACACTCTGTCAGTGCTGCATCCACCCAAGGAGGAGGAGGTGGAGGAGGAGGAGGAGACGACGAGGGCCACGCATTAACCCCGAGCAGTAAACGTGCAGTGAGGACCAATCTGTGCTCACCTCGCCACCGGTTGTTTTTTTCCCTCCCCCCCCCCCACCCCCCCTTTGGACGCTGCATTGTCGCTCTTTCGTGTTGCCACCGGGCGCCTGGAGGGGGAAACGCGATCCGGAGAGGACGCGCGTCTCTGCGGAGCCCGATCGCGGTCGGTTGGCGGAAAAAGGGACGTGATATGAACCCCTCATCGGCTTAGGCGGCAGTGCAGCTAAAATAGCACTGTTTTTCAGTGAGGAGGGGGGCAGCAGGAGGAGGAGGAGGTGTGTGTGTGTGGGGGGGTAGCGGGCAGTTTCACGGAGGATCAGAGAGGACATTTGTATCCATTAACCTGCAGCCCGAAGGCCGAAGAAAGAAAACAAAAAACAACAACAAGAAAAATACCCCCCCCTTTCCCTCCTGGAACCTGTAGCGATGCCCGGGTTTGATTACAAGTTCCTGGAGAAGCCAAAGAGACGGTTCCAGTGTCCGCTCTGCAGCAAGGCGATGCGGGAGCCCGTCCAGGTGTCCACCTGTGGACATCGCTTCTGTGACACCTGTCTGCAGGAGTTTCTGAGGTAAGCCGGCGACACCCGAGACACCGGAGCAGCGGCCTCGTCCAGTTTCGGTCGAGCGGCGGTAAATAAAGGACGTGTAGGTGTGTCCTCCTCGCTCCCTTTTCACCTTTTCCGTCTTCCTCAGGCATTGTTTTGTATTTCCACGGCGCCGCACGACGAGCGGCTCCTAAACGGGGGGCCTGGTGGACCTTCGTGTCTCGTGTGTGTTGTATCTGTTGTGCTTTTGTCGGACAGGTGGAGGATGTTGTGGTTGTTGTGCTGACGGGGAGATGCTTTTGTTGTTGCTGCATCATCCTTGGGTTAAAAACAAGCTGCTATTTTGTGTCAATCTTTATGACTTCCTGTTAATATATTTCATGTTGTGGTGTCCGGCCGAGGGGCCCCTCCCTCCCCGTCCTGGCTGGGTTTTTGCCCTCAGGGTGGCTGATGATGAGGGTGTGTGTGAGTGTGTGTGTGTGTGTGAGTCTGCCTATAGTCCAGGATTAGACAGATTCCTTCATTGGTGTCGGCCAGGGGGCCACTGAGGGACCTTTCACTCAGAGGTCAGCAGTCTGATAGCCCCCCTCACCCCTCACCCCCCCTCTCCTCCCTCCTTTCATCCTCATCAGCTCAACATTGAAGTCTGTGTTAAGACTTGTAGAAAGAAAGTCTTTGTTTCAACCTGAGGTGGACCGAAAACAGTCACAAACTAGCATGAAGGCAACCGGATAACAACCACAACGTCCAACATTTAACTGCAAATGATGAAGTTGCATCATGGACGTCTTACAGCATGAATCCTTTGTGTTGAACTCGTAACAAGGTGACTTTTAGTCTTTTGGAGTTTGAAGAAAGACAAATCAAATGTTATCTCCTTAGTCTACAAGGCAAAGATCTTCACAGTTGTTTACTCCGCTGATTTATTTTTGGGCTATTGATTTTTATTTTCGTTATTGATTATCCTGTCGATTATTTTCATGATGAATCTATATGTTTTTGGTCCAGATCCAATAGCAAAGCTAATTGTCTCAGCTCTTGTAAAAAGCCTTTGTGTTCCATGAAATATTATGCTGTACATATGATCAAAATTATAATGGTGCTTAGTGTAGAGCTGCAACAATAAGTCAGTAAATCAATAAGTAAATGGTCAGTTTAAAGGAGAAATAGCTTTTATACGATTGTAAACTGATCATTTGTGGGTTTAGGACTGTTGTTTGGACAAAGGCCATTGAAGACATCAACGTAGGATCTGGGACATTTAGTAGACTAAAAGATGAATTAAAAAATCATTTTTATTATGAAAGTTGTTTTGGTTTTCAATTTTAGTTCAGATGTTCATCGAAATTTCATCCGAATCTTTTGTTCCTTGGTTGACAGCACACCAAAAAAAATGTTGAATGAATACGAATATTCTTTATTTACAAAAATGCCCCCATTCTGATCTAGATGATATAGAAGAGCACCTCCCTTGCCTGAATCAGGGCTTCAGTGATGCATTTGGAAATATAAAGAGAGGGAGACAAAACAGAAACCAACAAAGGAGTTTCCTTTTTTTTTGTTGTGAAAAGATAAAGCACTCACATAGACTTCCAATATTGTTAAAGTCAGTGGCGAAGTTTTTAAAAGTGCTGTGTTCAAGTGAGTAACTCTGGTCAGCACTAGTTTTAGTAACAACATAACCAACAATATGTCAGGAAAGAGGAATTTTCCATTTCATTGGGAAATATCCACTTTTTAAGGCCGTTGTGTCAGAATAACCAGTCTGCTGGTGGAAAGGAGAGCGGTGGAGACGTGAACCTCTGCGTCATGCTCCTCTCGCTCACTAGACAGCAGAAAAATTTGCGTCAGGCTGAAAAGCAGAAACGCGGTGAACAAAGACAGCAAGGGAGGAACAGTGTTTGCTGCTGATCCATAATTTCGGCCCGGCGCTTTGTCTGCCTCCTCCTGCCCGCCTCCGTCTTTGTCCTCCCAGTTTACGCTCTTTTCATCTCCGCTCAGACTGACTGATTGTAGCAAAAGTTTCCCGACTTGTGCAAGTTTTCGTTGAGTAACTCTTTGGTCGGGAAGTCAGTGCAGATGTGAATCTCAGATGTGACTCTTATCTCTCTACATGAAGATCTAACAGCTGGTGTTACATCTGGGAGATCTGTTCACCTCCAGACAAATCTGCACCAAGCTAAAATATAGACCTTTATAAAGCAGTTATAACTCGTAGCTTTAGCGCTGCTCTCAAGAAAGTCCTGGCTGACCACACTTTGTTTAACAGTTCCTCACACAACAACTGGAAAGTTGCCTTCTTTCGTGGTTCATCACTATAAATTCTTTTAAATCTTGCAACAGTCTAAAAACGTCCTTTCTTTGACTCGTGACTGTTCAATTCAAACCCTGTTTATAATGTTTTTGTCCTTCAAGCTTGATGAATAAAACCATTTATACATGTGTTATTACCAAATGGAAACGATAAACCAGTCAGGGAGATCTCTCGCAACTCTTCAACTCAAAGGTTATTCCTATAAAGCCTCAAACATCTATAAAGCATTAGTAAATGAGTAATTAACCATGAATAAAGCTATGAGTGACAACTTACAGACTTTACAAAAGTGGTGCCCAATAAATATTCTATGACATTATCTTCAATCAGATTGTGCGTCAAATGGTTTTGGGATTTCAAAACGCGTTACAATCATTCAGACATTTGATATAATCTTGATGAAAGATGACATTATTTCTCCCATAGATGACAACTTCTTACGTGGCACAAAGCCTAAACCAACACTTCTATCAACAGCGAATGATATTTCAGCAGCTCTTCCTCTTTCTTTAGCTCTAACAAACAGAAACCAAGCTGCTGTGCTGCGTCATCCCTTCAATCAACGACGCGTGCCAGGCGAGGCCACTTTCGGCTCACTTGGCCGCCGAGTGCATCTTTTAGTTGGGAGTGTTCAAGTTTATTGAGGCTGACAGGGAATAGTTAGCTAATGCTTTGCCCCATTGTGCAACTAGCTTGATACTTTTAGCTGTAATTATGGAGGACTGTGTAACATCCAGTCAGGGCTTGCCAGCCGACCTCGGCCCACTTTTGCTACTCTGTTGCAACAAGACGTGCAAGAATGCTACCGCGTGGCGTTTCTTCACTGTTAATCATCCTTCATCCTCCATATCGCCTCATCAGCAACACTATAGTAAATGCTTTGTATCCAACTTCAATGTAGATTTGATTGTTTATTCACGTATGTTTTAAGAGTTGTAGCTTCTCCTGCGAAGACATATTTTATATTATTGCAACAATGTTTTATTCTATTGTCGTTCATTATCTGTATGCAAACCGGTCTCCACGAATCGGTGCTTCCTCGCACGAGTTAGTTGCTATTTTGTACGTTAATAACCACTGGTATCTGCTCACAAACACATATGAACAGAGGTGGTCAAAATAAACCTTCCCCGAGAAGCCCTGGAGGAAACGTTTGAATGTTTATTACTTCCCTGTGTTGCGTGTCGGTGCCCCGCCTGCGTCCATAGGCATGTTAGCGTGTGACGGGCTTCCGCTTTCAAGGAATGCTTACAAGTACTTCACAGTCCTGGAGGCCGCCCCGAGCTCCGAGGGCAGAGTCATGGGGCAAAAAGCGGCCCAGCCCTGCAGCCTCGCTGCCCCCAGATATGAGTCACATGCTTCAGCAGTTGAGCGTGACCAGGACGGCCTTTGTTTTAGCAAAACGCCGGCTCTTTAATAAAGGACAATCAACAACTAACGCCATGTGACACAATCGCCTTCAGCGTGTGGGGGTTAAGTAGCCCCCCCCCCACAACACACACGCCATTCCTCGTCGCTCATCAATCCCGGGGTCCACTGAACCACCGTTTCGCCGTGCAACGTGACAGCGTTGTCTCCGTGGAGAAGTTGCGGTGCCGCGGCTTCGCCAAGGGTGTAATTGGTTTGTGCTGCTCGGGAGCTTCTCCGTCCACGCAGTCGTGTAGCGCTGCAGCCGCTGACTTAGACGGAGTCACGAGCAACTACAAAGTGGGCCAGTAGGAGAGAAGTCTTCACGACTCCATTATTCACTGTCCAAAAGCCTGCGGGGGCTGAGGAGGGGGGGGTTCTTTCTTTTATTCTGGAGTGATTCATTTGAACTTTGAAACATCACAGCGTACACAATCACTTTCATCAATAGTACTTTACTCTTTAACTTTTCTGCAGCAGTATTGTGTTATTTAAAGGAGCCAGAGTAAATTATTGATACTACTTTACGATACATGGTGAGACAAATGGACTTTATTGATGGTTAATAAATACATCAATCAGGGCTGCAATTAACGCTAGTTTTTCTTTGTCAACAAATCGGTTAAGCAATTTTCCAAAGAATCTAAATAAGTGAAACACGTCAATTACAATCTCCCAAAAAGACCAAATGACTTCTTTGAATGTGTGTTTTTTTACATTTTGAATATAGCACAGATCATTAAAGGTTATTTCAGGTGGATTATGTTCCTCCCAGGGTCTCCCGTCTTTCATGCCGTACTAAGATAACTTCTTAGCTGCAGCTTCATATTGATGTATTTTTTTCCAAGACAACAAATAATCTCAAGGTTTACAAAGCTCAAGAGGCACTTGTCCTGCTGGAGGATAAACTCTCTAAATACTACAACATTTATTTAGATTATTAACTGATCTGTAAACCATTAAAACACGTAATAAAGGGTGATTTGTTAGAAAGTAGCCCCATAAATACCCAACGCTAGATCTCACTGTCGTCTCACTCTGTCAACAACTGACAATCAAAGTTGTTTTCTCTCCTTTTAAACACATGATGAATCCACTTCCATCCATTGTGCACGCAGCCGTGCAGCGGGATGCATAGAGAGGCACTGAGGGTGTTTTTTAAAGCGCTAAATGGAGCTGCGTGTTACATGGGTGCCCAATGTTGGGTGTAAGTCTGCCACTTGAGGCAGCTGGGGCTTTGTGTCTCAGTGGGTATCTGTATCTGAATGGGAGCAATGCCATGGATGGCTGATGAATGACTGTG